CATACTTTCCTTTTATGCAATCTCTACATTGTTCTAAATCTGAGAGCTCTAATGGAGGAAGAATATCATTCTTAACTAGTCTTTCTATTCTCCCCCTTGAAATATGGCCTAAACGACAGTGCCATAATTTCGACAACGCATCGTGAGCTCTTTTTTGTTTTCTATTTGCATTGTTCGATGAGGATACATTTTCATTCACATCACATACGGAATTCACATTTTCACGAAGTGATAACAAATAAAGCTCGTCTTGTCAGAAGGCAAGACCAATACATCTATTATTAAACAATATCTGACATTTGCCATTTCCAAAATGACAACCATAACCATCATGGTCCAACTTTGATACACTAATCAAGTTTCTTTGCAAAGAAGGTACATAAAGAACATCTCTTAGAATAAGTATGAAGCCATCAGCAAGCTCTAGTGGAAGATCGCCAACAGCCTCAACATCTGCTTGTACTCTATTTGCAACTTTAATGAAACTTTCGCTTCTTTGCAAAGTTCTCATCGAACGGAATCACTGTAATGAATTAGCAATATGAATAGTTGCACCTGAATCAATCCACCAAGTAGATTTTGAAAACTTTACATACAAGGATTCATTTACAAACGTAATAATGTTCTCACCTTTATTTTTCATTATTATCTTTAGAAAATCAGGACAATTCTTCTTATAATGTCCCGTCTTCTTACAGTAGAGACACTGATCTTTATCCACTGAGAATTGCTTGTTTTGAGACTGTTGCATGGGACCCTTTCCAGATGACTTGAAGGAAGAACTATTATTATAGTTCTTTTTCTTATCTTTTAGGTAGTTGACAGTACCACCTTGTGAAACTTTTATTCTTTCCTCCTCCTGCACACACATGGCTATGAGCTTTTCTAAATCCCATTTTTCAGGCTGTATGTTGTAATTAACAACAAAGGTGTCAAATTCTTTGGGCAAAGAAGCAAAAATCAAATGAATAAGAAACTCATCCTTGAGTGCCAAATCCATTGGTTTGAGCTTAGATGCCAGATTGCTCATTCTCAGTATGTGCTCTCTAATGCCACTGCCGCCACCAGAGTACCTTTCTGTTACCAGCTGCTTGATTAGCTGGGTTGCATATGTCTTTGAAGAGCCAGTGAACTGACTCTTTATTCTTTCTAGCTACTCTGTGACCGTGTCACAGTCTGGAATTGAGCCCACAATAGCAGCCTCAATCGTGTTCTTTATCACTGTCAAACACTTCTTGTTGGTAGTGACCCATTTTCTATGCTCAAGGTCATAGGACATCTTTACGGGAGCAAAATCCCGCTCTCTGTTCTGCCATGCAGCATCAGTCTCATCTGTCTCCCTCACTGGTGCCACAGGTTCTCTAGGGCACGGTGTGGTGACAACCCAGTCCACCTCAGCGAGGATGAAAGCCAGGTCTATCTTTTTCTTCCACTCAATATAGTTATCACCTTTTAGAGTGGGGATCTCTTTGATACAACTCATCAAGTTGTATCCTCCTGAAAACACAATTCAAATAGTGTGGGAACACAAATAATAACAACAATAATTGCATGCCTTAGTTTAACGTTGGTTAAAATTAAAACATACAATTATTTTTATACATTAAATCTACATCACCATTGGGCAGAAATAGAAATAATACATAACAAAAAACCATAATAACATCAATATTATAATATTGCTATTAATCAACGTTGGTCAGAATAACAATAATATTATAATCAATTTAAAACATATCCATTTTCAAAATTAAATTCTCCCGTTGGTTCGAATTTAATAATAAAAATTACATCTTTAAATACGCAGCGGAAACTTTAATAATCTTTTAATTCTATTTTTCAGAAACTGTTACTGCACTTTACTATTCTCTGAACAAAATTGACGTTAGATCAAAATTGTATAGATATCAACATCAAAATTCAGTTCGAATTTACCAAATATGAATCAAAAGTTTCTGAAAAATAAAAAAGAAAATATTTCACTGTGTTCGGCCATTTCGGCCCAGAGCAGCGCACGCGCGGCCCAGCTCGCGGAGCCCAACGCGCGCACCTCAAGCGGCCCAGCCGCATGGCTCCTCCTTTTTTTTCTTCGGCCAGTCCCATGCTGTTGGCCCAACAGCCAAAGCGGCCCAGCCCACATTATTCGCGCGACGCCCGGACGCACCCAGGCCGCAACCTGGGCCTGGGCCGGCAAAGGTGATCGACGCGCGCGCCCGCCTGGGCCGCAACGCCGGCCCGATCATCTCCGTCCGTCCATCCAGATCGGACGGTTGAGCGCACAGCTCGGGGCATCAAAACCCCGGCCGGCCACGCCTCCCCCAAAACCTAGTTCCATTTCTCTCTTCCCCTTCTCTCTCTTCGCGCCGCGCACCAGAGCCACAGCGGAGCCTCCAATGGCGGCCAGAAGGAAAGGAAGGGATGGCGCCGCTGTCGGACCCCTCGCCGGCGCGCGAGCTCGCCGTAGGCTGAGCTCGCCGCCGTCGAGCGGTCTGGGCGACGGCGCCGCGCCGCAGCCAAAAGTCGACGCCGGCTCCGTGCACTGTTGCCGCATGGCATCCAAGACAGCCGGCGGTGATGGGGAAGGGGGTCCAGGTAGGTCCTCACCACGCCATCTTATTTCTTTTGACCCTTTTAGGGTTAGGGTTAGGTTCTTTTCATTCGGTTTTCGTTGCTGTTGGCTCGGCTATCTCTCCCGTGCGCCCAGGCGGCGCGGTCCCCTTCCCGCACCATGGCGGTGACGACGGCGGGAGAGGACCCGGGTAGTATCCCTTCCCCTCCATTCATTCTCTGTTTAGCTAGGGTTAGGGTTTTGATTTTGGACTCTTTTCCCGATTTGAAGTCGGTTCTTTTTCTTTCTCAGTTAGTCACCGAGCGAGCGACCACGGCTTTCCCCCGATTTGTTTTCTTCTCGGGTAACTTTCCTTTTCTTTTCCCGAACCCGATCTAGGGTTAGGGTTCGATTTTCTCTTCTTTCCCCGATCCAGATCTACCGCTAGAAAGACTCCGGTACCATTGTTAATTTCTGTGGATCGACTAGGGTAGATCTAGGCGGATGACACTTGGATCCGTAATAGCACATGCATATCTAAACCTAGAATACTATACCGAGAGGGAGATAGGGTAAGGGTGCTGGTGTTGAACCTGAGCCCTCGGAGGAAGTCGCGGTTGAGCTGGCCATCTCAGCTTCGGTGATGGAGGCAGCACACGGGCAGCGACGGGTGGAGTAGAGGTTGCACGGACGTCGATGCAGTGCAAACGGATGGCGTGGCAGTGACGACGGCGAAGTCAGCGGAGCTTCCCGTCGCTGGCTGCGCGCCCTCTTAGATCGGTCTAGGGTTTGTCGGTGGGGTTTGCGGCTCACGGTGAACCTCGTACCTCGAGCCGCCGGCCCCCACCTCTATATATAGCGCAGTGCGACGGGGGCCCACCAACCATGTAGGGTTGGGCACCCCCGATCAGGGCGCGTGACCAAGACCCAATAGGTCGTTGGGCTTATTGGTTGGGAGATCACTCTAACAGAACTCACATGCTATGTTGCTGTTGCTTCAACTCAAAAGGCTTTGGAGTATGGACATGCAGAGCCTCAGCAATCAAACGCCGCATCCAAGTCAGGTTTGGATCGCACAGAAACCACGCTGGTAACGCGGGTGTGGCTTGTGCGTGGTGTGGGTACTTCTGTGTCTTAGGACGGGAAAAGAGGGAGGTGAGTCCAGCGGTTTCCTCGATTTCCTCCGACTCGTATCTGACCCGCGCACGAGAGTAACGGACTCTTTTTTTGGGGGAACGAGAGTAACAGACTTGGATTTTTTATGGAGTGCGCGTGCAAGAGAATACTTTGAACGAGGTGGGGCCAGCGGTTTCCTCCGGTACCGCGTACTGTAACGCGTAACAGTGGATGTTTGCTTTTTCTACCGAAGATTTAATTCTACCGTGGACGATTTTCCGGAGCCTTTTTAGGTGTAGAAAACAGATGTGAGGCTGCCGACTGTCCCCGACACGGACTCAGAATTGTCTTCGACTCTGTACAGGATCGTGGACTCGAGTATACGTATTTGGTAGTTTTTGTGACAGGGTAGTGTAGTCTTCGTGATCGGATAGTATACGATTTTTTGAATCACCGGGTAGATGATTACTTTAGAGTCTTTTTAGGTATATAGAGATAAGAGTCATAGTTAAAGATATGTGACACAAAAAAGATATCAAGGAATAGCAAATTAGTTTCATTAAATTTTGTATGGAATATCAAAATTTTCATCAATTTTTGTATGGATTATGTCTTAATAGTGTATTTATTTGAATTTGTATATGCTAATATGGTCTTCTAAAAACTTAGTTGAAGTTAGAAAACTTTGACTTAAGACAAAGTTAAAGTAAACAATATTTTCAAACAAACATACTCCGTCAGCCAAAAAGAATGCAATTCTCGTTCTACGAGAAGTCAAACAGTTTTACCCGTCTCGATCATGGATGTCACGATTATGGATGCATTGTTTTCAAAATACAATTTGATAATCATTGAAAAGTTATATATGCAGTCTCTTCGGTCACCACGTTTGAATCCCCACTCGTGTATGAATACCATCGTGACTGTTGAGGGCATCGGGATCTATTTGGAATGCAAAAATTTTACATAAATCGTACACAAATTTAGCATAAATCAATTTAATTTTATATAGGAAAAATACAGGAATATAATTTTTTTTTCTACATCCCAAACGGGCCCTTATATAGAATCCAAAAACTACAAGCCCAATGGTTCACAAAAAGTGATTCTGGAAAAAAAAATAGGAGAGAAACCAAAACCAAGTCCAAACCTTTCCCCTAGTTATTTTCTCAGCTTTAGCCGTTTTGGACTCCTAGTCATAGTTCGGATCCCTGTCGGCATCCTAGCCCCAATTTTATACAAGACGGCCAGGTGCTCTGGTGTGTGTGTATATACTTCAATTTGTTGATGGTGCTCCCCTACGTTGCCTCCGATTGACCTTCAATCGTCTTCCACAATGGCACACGCCTGTGCCGTCCCATCGGTGAACGGCAAATCGCTGCCAGTGACAGTGGCAGAGACGTCGTCGAGTTGCCTGACACAAGGCATCACCGCGGCGCACAACTTCGAGGTGATCAACTTCTCGCTGCTCGAAGGCATGGGCGTCGGCGAGTTTGTCAGCTCGAGGAATTTCCACGTCGGCGGCTACGACTGGAACATCAGGCTCTACCCAGACGGGAGGTCGGCGGAGCATAAAGACAAAGTGTCGGCCTTCTTGATTCCCGAAGGAGGACAGGAGGGCGTGAGGGTCAGGTCCACCTTCACCGTCTTCGGCAAGGATGGCAAAGTGTGGGTGAAGGAAAACGCGGAGCATACCTTCAAGTCACCTTTAATAGGCTGGGGCTGGCCCCCCTTGATACATAAATCCAAGCGTCTCTTCCGGACGCTGCTGCGCGACAGCAACGACGGCTTCACGGTCAGGTGCGTCCTGACCGTCATCCAAGACCCCCGTGTCGAGGACGTGAGCGCCATCGTCGTCCCGGAGCCCAGCGTGCTGCAGGACCTGGCGAGCATGCTCAGGGACGGGGACGGCGCGGACGTGACGTTCGTCGTAGACGGGCGGTCGTTCCCGGCACACCGGTGCGTGCTCGCCGCGAGGTCCGCGGTGTTCAGGGCGGAGCTCTTCGGCCCCATGAAGGAGAAGGCCGCAACGCGCGTCAAGGTCGACGACATGGAGCCTTCCATCTTCGAAGCGCTGCTTCACTTCGTGTACACGGACACTCTGCCGGACGGTGACGGCGGTGACGGTGGCGTTGCCACGGACGACGACAAGGACAGGAATGTGCCGATGCAGCACCTGCTGGTGGCCGCGGATCGGTATGGGCTGGACAGGCTGAGGCTGCTGTGCGAGGTGAGGATGTGCCGTAGCATCGACGCGGACACGGTGGCGACTACTCTGGCTTTGGCCGAGCAGCACCGCTGCGTGCAGCTCAAGAACGCTTGTCTCGGATTCATAGCTTCGCGGGGAGTGCTTGGTGCTGTCGTGCAGACTAGTGGGTTCTGTCATCTCGTCGAGAGCTGCCCTTTGGTTCTGTTGGAGATTTTGGACAAGCTAGCTTCTCTAGGAATCTAGTCAAATGATAGCTCTATATATGTTGCCTCCAATTTAAAAGCTGATTCCTCCATTTGTTCATATATACTAGTATGGCTCTGCTTTTATGACACAGAGTCACGAATAGATCGAACCACTGCAGGCATCTAGCAGAATTCCTAATCAAGAGAATGTGTGCCACTGAACTCTGAAACTAGTATCTTTTAGGCTGCACTTGGTAGAGCATCGGCTAGCTTCAATTTTTTCGTTCACTATAGGTACTTTTTTATCTATATCTTCATAGATAGATGAACTATGAAAAAACATAAAACTTTTTTTAGCTTTGTCGGCTCTGGCTCGTAGATTTACATTGTATCGTGGCAAAGGAACTAGAGACAGATGAAGCCGTGCCAATAAAGATATCAAGCAGAGCCTTCACGTTAATTTCCACGAGACGTGCCGTGAAAAAACCAAATTCTCAAAAATCATAAACATTCATCCATCAATTCGATAAACTTCGGTCATCACTCAATTAGAGCAATTTGATCTATTTTTTTCTAAATAAATAATCACCATCCTCAGCCATTAGAAAAATAGTATAAAGTAACCTCCTAAGTATATTGAACAAAATGACCCACCACTACCGTTATGAAAAATAACATAAACAGACCCCTAACCTTGGTTTAATTTACCCATAGATGCCATTATAAAAACAACATAAAAATAATCCTTAAATTTGTCCATATCGCTATTAATTAAAATAATCATAAGTAAACCCAAACATGTACCTAAGATACCTACATCTATAATTATAAATGCATGACTTAAAATGCTTATATGAATGGTTGAAAATACTCAAAACTGTAACTGCTATATGGAGAGATCAAGTTGAGAAGTGCTTTCATTCATGTGTGATGAATAATTGACGCAAGAGTTCAGAGGTTTGGGATTTTTTTATTTGAGCTCATATTTCATATGTGTTTGTTTATGCTAATCTGAGGTGTCACATTATGTTGTGTTGAGTGTGTTGTGTGTGCAGATGTTGGGTGCGTCGAGGTGGTCAACAGGGGATGGAGAAGGTAAAGCGAGGAGTCCATACACGATGGACCGAGGGTTGAACGAGGCAGACACAAAGACTTGGATCGAGGGACCAAGAGGCCGAGGACGGATCGTGGATAACACATTAATTGGGCACATGTAAGAATAAGAGTACATAGATGATGGCGTTCACCAAAGCTAAGGTTGTTATAGCCAAAGTACCAGTAATTAAATTATTGGTAGTAAACTACTGTGGCAAATGCACATCATTGCCGGTTTTGTAGCCAACAACAACCGATAGTGTTGCTCATGTGCCGCTGCTGGATGTTGGCTACAGTTGCTAGTGATGCTCATGTTTCATTGTTGATAGTAGCCAATAATAGGTAGTGAGCTACTTGTCCATTGTCGTTGCAAAAACCAGTAGTGATGGTCGATTTGAAGCCAATGGTGGTAGCTTGTTGTTTATTAATCCCTCCATCCCGTTTTACGAGGCGTAGTTTAGAATGACATAGTCTCGTAAGTTATAATTTGACTATTCATTTACTTTATATTATATTATCGTTTATGTTTATAAATTTATGATTATTGAATAGTACAATTCCTTACAAATCTAACCTACGAAAGTTTGTGTTATAATAGTTTAAGATTGTTAGCTAAATGATTGATCAAAGAGTCTAAAGATTAAATCTTAATACCTGTGTGCCTCTTGTAAGGCCTTGTTTGGATGTTGTCGGATTCACCTCAATCCATATGTGTTGGAGTGGAATTCAGTTCAAGTTTCACTCTAATCCAACCTAATATATGTGGATTGATGCGAATCCGACTATATCCAAACGAGACCTAAAAACGAACAGAGTATCATGTATTCCAGTCAAAAACTTAAACTCGGATTAAAAACTACGCTTGGTTCAAAAGAAATAAAGCTATATTATTATTAGTTGGCGTAGTCACGTAGACGTGTCCTGCCTTTTCTAATATGGACGGTATTGCTTTGGCGAGAAATGGGCGAATTTATGCTTTAACAAGAACGTGTCCTGCCTTTTCTTATTCGCTCTTATGCTTTAACAAGAACTTCCCCCTCGTTGCAGAGCGAATAAGAGCCCGCGCCGTTCACCTTCTCTTTTCTCTCCCGCGACCACTCCATCCTAGCCGGCGATGCCTTCTCGTGCAGCTCCTGTCGCCCACTCGCCGTTTTCTTGGGTCATGGCTGGCCGTCGGCGTCCGTACCCGGTCGGACGGATCGAGACGCCTCTCTCCAGATCCGTTCGTCACTGGCTTCGGGCAGTCGCTGCTGTCGGCCTCCCTCGAGTGCTGCCGTCCGCCAGTCCTTGAGGAGGCTCGACGGCGATGGAAGCACTGCAGTGGATTCTCTCAGCTGGGACCAGTTTCTTCAAAGGGATCCATCTGAGCAACGACCTGGAGCGCCTCCGAGCCACCTTGCCCAAGGCTCGCATGCTCATCTGTCGCAGCGAGTGGGGCATGTTCAAGGACAAGCAGCTCGCGAAGCTTCTCTCGCATCTCAAGGACACCACCTACTATGCAGAGGACCTTCTCCGCCAGTTGGATGACCAAGTGTTGCGGCAAAGGATAGAGGACGCTAATCGGAGCAGGGCAGGTCAACTCTTCTCTTCCTCTCTGAATCTTGCGAAAACTTATATAGTTATATCCGTGGTAGCAAAGGAAGGATAAAGGAGACCCAAGATAAGCTCGACAAGGTTGTGGCTGAGATCGAGGGGATGCTCAATCTTATGGGTCTTATGAGCGTTGAGCCATCTCAGATCATGCCGGAGACGAGTTCAGTCATCAGTGCTCTGGAAGTGGTTGGTCGTGAAGCTGAAAGAAATCAATTGATCGAGATGCTTGGTGTGATGATTGGGCGTGAGACCCAACGGGATCAGGTGGTCAAACTATTGGGAGTGCCACTCACTAGGGGTAGGAGGTCTGCAGGGTCCAACGGAAAGAGAGCAGCAGCTGGTAGTGGTGTCGCATCAACATCCAGAGCCAAGCAATCGAGAGGAAACAGTGGCAGGGCTGGACATGCTGAGATGAACTGCAAAAGCAATGTTTCTGTCATCCCAATTGTCGGCGTTGGCGGGGTGGGGAAGACCACCCTGGCTCAGTATATCTACAATGACCCAAGGGTGAAAAACCACTTTAGTGTGATAATATGGGTCTGTGTGTCAGACTTCTTTGACAAGAAAAGGATAACAAGGGAGATCATTGAATCCATCCCCGGGGAGGAATTCAACCCATCATCATCGTGCAGTCTAGATGCTCTTCATGTGAAATTGATGGATCGGCTGAAGAGGTGCCCGAAATTCCTTTTGGTGTTAGATTGTTAGACCTAAAGCAGAGGATCTCTAGGCATAAATTTAGCGAGTTCTCTTGTAAATGGATAACATGTCCTAGTACGTCTACTAGACAGAGATTAGAGGGATGAGTAGTGCTAGGTTACTGACCATCGTAGGGCTTCGATCCAGTGGCATCGGCCATGGTCGTTGTGTTGGTGTCTGCGCGAGGGCAGCGACGGTCGGTAAAGACGGTGACGGTGATGGGCGGTGGCGATCGGCGTTGAAGACCGATGGCGGCGCAATGCAGTGGTGGAGGTGTTTCCCGTCACTGGTTGCGCCCCTCACTAGATCGGGTTAGGGTTTGTCGGTGGGGAGCTCGGCTCAGGCGAACCTCTTACTCAGAGCCGCCGGCCCCCACCTCTATTTATTGCGCAGTGTGACAGGGGCCCTCCAGCCATAGTGGGCAGGGCGCCCCCGATCAGGGCATGGATCAAAGGCCCAACTGGGCCGTTGGGCCCAGTTTGGGATTAGAGATCAATCTAACAATCTCCTCATTGACCTCCTACCATCTTTCAATTTTATATCATTTACTTTTGTTAATTCCATTACAGATTAACACATAGAGCATGTTTCATGGCCACGGTCAATTGCCGATAGATTTAACAACTACAACACACCACTCTGTTCTGAAATAGATACTTAACTTTGGGCCTTCTTTTGTCCAGGAATTAGACTTTCTCTTAAACCCATGCCGGCTACATATTCTCTTAACACGTTGGGTGGTAAGCCTTTTGTAAGCGTATCCGCGAGCATCTTTTTGGTACTTATATGCTCAAGACTTATGACATGATCCCGGACTTTATCTTTCACAACATAATACTTTATGTCAATGTGTTTGGCAGCACCACTTGACTTATCGTTGTGAGCATACTGTACTGCCGGATTATTATCGCAGTATAACTTAAGTGGTCTATAGATGTCGTCAACCACCTTCAAACCGGGTATGAACTTCTTTAGCCGTTTTATCTGTCCCGTTGCCTCATAACACGCTACAAACTCGGCATACAGTGTGGACGATGTAGTGACGGTTTGCTTTGAGCTTTTCCATGAAATAGCTCCCCCTGTGAGAGTGAATACATATCCAGACGTGGATTTTCTATCATCTTCCGCATAATCAGAATCAGAATATCCCACTATATGGAGTGAATCTGATCTTCTATATGTCATCATGAGGCTGTTCGTTCCTTGCAAATAACATAAGACTTTCTTTACCAATTTCCAGTGTTCTGTTCCAGGATTGCTCTAGAATCTGCCAAGTAACCCGGTAACAAATGCCAAGTCAGGACGCGTACATACTTGAGCATATTGTAAGCTTCCGATAGCTGAAGCATATGGAACCGTTTTCATTTGATCGATCTCATACCGGTTCCTAGGGCATTGAAAATCCTCATATCTGTTGCCCTTGACTATAGGAGCAAGTGAGGGACTACATTTGTGCATATTGAATTTTTTAAGATCTTTTCTATGTATGCCTTTTGTGACAATCCTAATACCCCTTTACTTCTATCTCGGTGAATCTCGATCCCTAGAACGAACAAAGCTTCACCAAGATCTTTCATATCAAATTTTGAGGACAAAAACTTCTTTGTCTCCCGAAGTAGACTGACATCACTACTAGCAAGTAAGATATCATCCACATACAGGATAAGGAAGATAAACTTTCTATTCTTAAACTTTACATAGACACAATTGTCCTCTACATTCTCTTTAAACCTAAAATTCTTTATTGTCTGATCAAACTTCAAGTACCACTGTCTTGAAGCTTGTTTTAATCTATAAATGGATTTCTTTAGGCGGCATCCCATTCGTTCTTTTCCTTCCATAACAAAATCTTTCGGTTGTGCCATGTAAATATTTTCCTCCAAGTCCTGTTGACAAATGCCGTCTTTACATCCATGTGATCTAATTCTAAATCGTAATGTGCCACTAATGCCATTATGATTCTGAAGGAATCCTTACATGAGACTGGAGAAAAGGTCTCATTGTAATCAATCCCTTCTCTTTGCATAAAGCCTTTTGCCACAAGTCGCGCTTTATATCTCTCTATATTCCCTTGAGAGTCAAGTTTTGTTTTGTAGACCCATTTACAACCTACTGTTTTGGCTCCTTTAGAAATTATTTCTAAGTTCCAAACTTTATTGGCATTCATAGATTTCATTTCATCTTCCATGGCCTCAAGCCATTTTGATGAATGATCACTTCTCATGGCTTCTTCAAATGAGGTGGGATCATCCTCCATTTGAAATTCCTCAGTGTTGTATACTTCATAGTCAGCAGAAATAACTGATTTTCTAACTCTTTGAGGCCTTTTAGGGGTCTCTATATTTGGCACATCTTCTGTTTGAGGCTGTTGTTGCTCCCCCTCATGTGGCAATAGATTCTACAGGATCTTGAAGAACAGGTTCCTCATCGTCATTCATTATTGCCACAGGCGGAATAACAACAGGTGCTGGCACCACAGTATCTTGCACTGTTGGTGCAGCGACAGCAGGTAGTGAAAAAAATGGCTCATGAATCATCGGAGTGGGTGCATACACCCATTTCTCTTCAAGGTCAATTTCTCGAGCTACCATGCTCCCCCTCATCATTTCATCCTCTAGGAAGACAGCGTGTTTCGTTTCCACAAACTTTGTATGTCTATCTGGACAGTAGAAACGAAAACCTTTTGACTTTTCTGGGTAGCCAATGAAATGGCAACTTACTATTTTGGGATCTAGTTTCCTAATATTTGGGTTAAATACTTTAGCCTCCGCAAGACTCCCCCACACACGTAAGTGGTTTAGTGAGGATACTCTTCCTGCCCACAACTCATACGGTGTTTTAGGCACCGACTTACTTGGTACTCTATTGAGAATATGAATGGCGGTTTTTTAACGTCTCCATCCACAGGCTCAACGATAAGGTGGGGTAACTTATCATACTGCGCACCATATCCATCGGGGTACGATTGCGTCTTTCAGCTACTCCATTCTGCTGAGGTTCGCCCGGTGTAGAATACGACGGTGCGTTTGAATCTTCTTGACGGACCACCAGGCGTGAGGGTTAAGTTCAGTATAAGCCTGCTGTTCAACAGTCGTCTCAGCAACTGGGCAGCCGACTCCGCTTATACTTTTTTTGTTGCATGTCAGTTTATACTTTGTGCAGACTGCAGACGGCCATGCAATGCAGCGCGAATCAAAACGTTCACTCAAGGTTTCATATATGCAAGCATGGGTCCTCATAAGCGTGTCCTTGCGCGGGTACTCGTCCGGCAGCCATTTTCCGCGTACACCGCGTGTGTCGAGGCCCGAGGTCATGCTATGCGGCCCACGTAGAATCCTTGTCCCTATCGGCCTGCCACGGGCCGACTAGTACTATCAGACCTTCAGATGCCGACAGGTCCTAGACCCATGGCCGGCGGGTGGCGGGTGTCGGCTGCCACGTATGGCTATCGGCTATTCAGAAGCCGACAGGATACTATATGTCAAATTATAGTACAGCAACTTCTAGATTTGTTATTAATCATTAAAAAATATTATTTAAAAAAATCCGTGCCATGATGTCGCGGTGTCCGAGGGGGCACCATGTCCAGCGTGCTTGCGGCTTGCCTCTCGTGTTTCATCAGAGAGCTCTCTCATGTGACACGGGCCTCGGGGCTGCTTTCGGCACACGCTTCGCGAAATCTTGCATGCACTTGAAGAGCGAAGCGGGCGACGGCGAGGCTGCGCGCGCAGACCCGCCGGCCGGAGGCGAGGGCGGTGACCATCGTCCACTGCGTCTTCGTGTCAGGCTTCACGATGCTGTTCCTGGCCACGCGTGTGGCTGCTCTTCTTCCCCAGCTCTTGTTCCCACTACTAGAGAACAGACTTTAGAACGATGTCCCAATTTGGCATTAGCCTCGGCATTTTTTGCCGCCGGGACTAAAGGACCCTTTAGTCCCGGTTCGTAATACCAACCGGGACTAAAGGTCCCTGCCCAACGGTCGTCCGCGTGGCAGGGATCTTTAGTCCCGGCTAGTATTACCAACCGGGACTAAAGGTAAACCTTTAGTCCCGGTTGGTAATACCAGCCGGGACTAAATGTTTTAGTCCCGGTTTGGGTGATACCCCGGGAATAAATATTAATCTTTAGTCCCGGTTTGACCACCTAACCGGGACTAATTATGCCGGCCTATACACCGGCTCATTTCTTCCTCCCCGAGCCCGAGCCATTCCATTCAAATTCACTGCCTCTGTTCTTCAGCTTGCTGTTGTTCTTGCTCTCTCCCCCTCCATTGGTGTTGCTCTTCGATTTTGGAGGTAACAAACTTAATCCTCTTATGTTTTATCAGTAGCTTATCTCATTTTGCGATGTAGATGCATATGTAACTTTATATGTTGGACTCTATTATGATTTTATATGTCATTTTTAGCTCAAAATCACATGATGATTTGCATATATGTTTGGATAAACAAAAGTTAAATTAGTTCATCAAAATCACGCCTCGCTTGGAGGTCATTGAGTTCTGTGTTGACTTTATTCCTGACCTTGCCCCGATTGACGTTCCCGAATCACGACACGAGGGGAGACTCAGTGGTAAAGGAACTTTAGGGAAGAAAACATGTATCGGCATGGAAGACGATTATTTCAATAAAGCACACTACACAGTTCTTCAGAACTCGTCATTGGTGCATCCGTACATCGAGATACATAAGGAGTTCTTACGATCCAAGTTTCGAGGAAGACCGAAGCTTGAATTAGGCGCCAAAGACATGGAAAGTTTCAGTGGTTGGTTGCGAAAAAAGAATGTCAAGGCGATGACAATATTGATGAGCAACTGTATTTGTTGGCTAGGCAGCCATCGTGGCATATCCTCACGTACCAAGGGTACGAGATAAATGGGAATACATTTTACACAGTTGCCCAAGATAAAAGGAGCACCAATCAAAATAGTGGTGTTCGCATAGATGGCACAGATCTAAATGGAAATATACAAACATATTATGGTCGCATAGAAGAGATATGGGAACTAGACTACGCACCTAATTTTAAAGTCCCTTTGTTCCGGTGCCAATGGGTGAAGCTGACCGAAGGAGGGGTAACAGTCGACAAAGAGTATGGAATGACAACAGTGGACCTCAACAATATTGGGTACAAAGAGGAACCATTCGTCCTTGCTGTCGATGTGAGTCAGGTGTTCTATGTGAAAGACATGTCTACAAAATCAAAGAGAGGAAAAAATGAAGACATCAACTCAATGATCAATGAGCCAAAGCGCCATATAATTCTTTCTGGGAAAATAAATATAGTGGGAATTGAAGACAAGTCAGACATGTCAGAAGATTACGAAAGAAATGTCCAAATTCCACCCTTCATAGTGAAGAAAGATCCAAGCATCACGTTAAATGATGAAGACACTCCATGGTTACGACAAGATCATAACCAAGGGTCATACGTCAAGAAGAAATTCACTGTTGTGCCCGCATGATACAACGATGCATGTTTAATATATTATGTTTTAGAGACGAATATTATGTAATATGTTATGACTTCACAATTGTAGATCTTGTTGAGATGATCAAACTTGGTATTCAGAGTTTTTTCATCTGAGGTCATTTAGTGTCTCATTTGAGCAAGTTTGATCAAGTCAAATTTGGTCAAATGAAAAAATAACACTTTGACTCTAGTATTATGAACTCTAAATGACTTCAAATTGAAAAGTTTTGAATACCAAGTTTATTAAACTCATCAATATCTACAATTGTTGTTTTGGTCAACTTTCCATTTGAGAAAGTCTGGATGGTTCAAATTTGTGATTTTTAAATTTCGACGCCTACAAACTAGTTTTCGGGACCCTAGATTGTCTCAAATTGAAATGTTTTGAATACCAAGTTTGTTTATCTCATCAATATCTACAATCCTTATATAGGCCACTTTTTCATTTGAGAAAGCTTGAACAAAATGTAGTTCAAATTTCACAAGTGTGTGACATAGTTTTGGAAAGTCTATATGAGATTCAAGAAGTTGTGACTAGTGTTTGATAAAAATTTCTTAAATGGGAAAATGAGCTATGTAACAATTGTAGATTTTGCTGAGATGATCAAACTTGGTATTCAGAGTTTTTTCATCTGAGGTCATTTAGTGTCTCATTTGAGCAAGTTTGACCAAGTCAAATTTGGTCAAATGAAAAAATAATACTTTGACTCTAGTATTATGAACTCTAAATTACTTCTAATTGAAAAGTTTTGAATACCAAGTTTGTTAAACTCAAAAAGATCTACAATTGTTGTTTTGGTGAACTTTCCATTTGAGAAAGTTTGGAGAGTTCAAATTTATGATTTTTAAATTTCGACGCCTACAAACTAGTTTTCGGAACCCTATATTGTCTCAAATTAAAAAGTTTTGAATACCAAGTTTGTTAAGCTCATCAATATCTACAATTCTTATATAGGTCATTTTTCATTGGAAAAAGTTGTAGAACAAAAAATACTATATTTTCTTTATTTTTATAGGTTCAACAAAAATTTCCTGTCAATTGTGGTAAAAAACCGAGAAAAAATTAAAATATTGACGTTACAATAATGTGATAATAAATTTCCTATCGAATAATATTAGTTTTATTAATTTTAAGTTACAAATATATTTTTGCATTAACAAAATACTTAGTATTAGTAACATTTATATTCTATATTCATAAAAGAAATTAGAAACTTTAGGTTACAAAATTTTCCTATTTACAATAAATAATTAGTTAATCAATAGTATTTTTAAAAATAAATATTGCAAAGTATTGAAGTTGCTATGGAATTAATTGATTAACCTAGTATTAAACAAAATCAAAATCCCAGACCTTTTCAATTACGCTGGCGGGTTGCCAAAATTTTCAGGCCTTCAGTCCCGGCCCAGGCCAAGAACCGGGACTAAAGGGTGGGCGGCAATTTCGGTGCCCGCCCAAAAATACCTTTAGTCCCGGCTGGTAACACCAACCGGGACTAAAAGCCTTTAGTCCCGGCTTGTAAGGTGAGCCGGGACTAAAGGGTTGGACCTTTAGTCCCGGTTAGTCTTACCAGCCGGGACTAAATGTCCTTTAGTCCCGGCTGGTGTATATCGAACGTCTATTTTGTTCATCTTCGATCTCGCCTCAAATCGCTCGCCCCCTTCGGGCGCGCCATCATCCGTCCGTCGAGCCCGTCTCTGTCGCGCCGCTATCGTCGTCTACCCCCGCCCGGCCGTGCCATTCTCCGGCCCGCATCGCAGCACCGCATCCCGTCTCGCCAACAAGACTCCGACCCCACCTCCGTCGTCGACGCCTCAAGGCCACCCACCGTACCCTCCGTCGAACTCTCGTCTGCTGCTCTCGATCGGCCATGTTTTTTATATTTTTTTTTACAAAGTCTCGGCCGTATGTTAGATTAAAATGTATTAAATTTTAATTAGTAGTTTATTGTTAGTTTTTTAGTTATTTTTTAGATAGTTTTTGATATATGTTAGATTTAAATGTATTAAAATTTAATTAGTATTTTATTTAGATAGTTTTTTAGATAGTTTTTTATTATAATTTTTGCTATATGTTAGATTAAAATATATTATCTATTACTAGTTTATCTAATTTCATGTTAGATTTATTTAATTGGATTTAGTAATTATATATTCTATCTCTCTATATATATCTAGAGAGAGATTCTATATGTATACATATGTACTTAATTATTTCTATATGTATATATACATGTACTTATTTTCATGTGTTGAGAGAGAGAGAAAATTGTATCTAGAGAGACATTCTATGTGTTATCACATGCATATCTAGAGATATAGACATATGCACTTATTTCTATGTGTTGAGAGAGAGAGAAAATATATTGTATCATTCTATGTGTATATATATACATGTACTTATTTCTATGTTTTTGGATCGAAAGTGTTTTTTATTCGATTCCAAAGCCTATACCTTATTATTGTTTATCCTTATGAAATATTATGTGTTATTATATTTAATTGGATTTAGTAATTCTATATGTGTTATCACATGTACTTATGTTATGTACTATAGTAATTCTATCTATGTGTTATCTTGAAGATACAAATGGCTGCTCCGGATGATAACTTGAGTGATGACATAATGGCGGATATTATCAACGCCGGCACCAATGTGGATGTAGATGACACGAGTCAGTACTTTGCTGATTATGATGATATCCTGAATATGCCGGTGGTTGAAGATCAACAAATTGTCGCGCAAGAAAATACTGACGAGGTATATTCGATTATCTATCATCTCTTATAGATGCATGCGTACGTATATTTGTTGTTAATCGTTGTGTTTCTACTCATGTACCCGGTCTCTAGATCTACA